GTGTGTGTGTGTGTGTGTGCGTCTGTGTGCCTGTCTGTCTGCATTTATATATGTATGTCTAAATAACAGTATGTGTGCATGTATGTTTTGTTCAGTTCCGTATGAATGTTTTAAAACAATCATTACAGTTTCACAGTTATACATACAAATGCACAAACCAGATAAACCAGAACACAACAACACATACTAAAAAAAACAATATTAAAAAAGCTAAAATATAAAACAACAACAACAACGTGACAACAGAAACATAAACAACCGAACAACTATAGGGAACAGAAAAACAACACAAAGAAACACTACCAGCAACAACAATACAAACAACACCACCACCAACAACAACACAAAACAACGGAATGAAAGAATAAGACCATAAACATCTGCCTAGCCCAACAAATCTTCGTTTCAATTTCTCTCTCCCTCTTTCTCTTTCTATATTTTTTTCTACTTAATTTTTCCAACTCTTCCTTTTTATTGTTTACTTTTCGCTTTTTCACGTTGAAACTAATTCAATTAATTTTCATTTTTTTTACGTTGGTTTATTTTAAATTTATATTTCAGTAAATCAGCTAGGGCGAACACTCTGCAATGAAATAAAGGATGAGAAAAGACAAAACAAAAATAATAATAATAACATTAATAATAATAACGATAATACAAATTATAATCATAATTTACTTTCCTTATTTTTCGATTACTTTGTTTCGCATCCCTACAGCCCTGCACACTCCCTGCACCAGCATCCATCTATCTTGCCACCTTTCTTATTTGCCAGCCACCTTCTTTCTACTTTCTTTCCACGAACAAATTTTCATCATTTTTTCCTCATTTTCTGACGTTTTTTCTCTCTCGCTCCTTGGAAAATTTTTCACAAAAATTCTTCCTTTTTTGCATTCCTTTACTTGTTTTTTTTACAGCGATCTCTCTATCTACTGATTTGGCAATTACACAAACAGGATAACTTGTCGTCGAGCGAGTGGGGTCTGATTTTATTGAAACAAATTGCCCACCAAGCAGCCACCTATCTGCAACAAATAATTCTTTTTTAAAAGCGCAACTTTTACCCTTGCTAATATTACTTCAACTACTACTACTAATACTGTTAGGGAAAAAAAATCAATCTAATTTCTTGAAATTGAAAAATAATTTGAATGTTTAGAAAGTTGAAAATTGAAAATTAATTAAATAACCTTTTTTGTCTTCTAAGAATATAACAACAATTTTTGAATTCAAACTAACTTATACGAAAAATTAATGCGTGGGGTGATTATCTGTAACAGGCATCTGTAACTGCGTCAGTGCTAACTTGAAAAACATTTTTTAAATCATTTCCGATTTTAAAGGAATGAATTTTAGATTAATTAAAATAAATAGTTACTTTTTTAAAATCAGATGACAACCCTGATAGATCAAGCAGCTCCTTTTTGCATGCACCCACAACTGTAGCTACTCATTTTCTCAATTAATCAGACCAAAACTATTTTAAGGGCAAACTGAAACCAACGAATAAATCGGAAAAGCACAACAGCACAAACAACAACAACAATTCCAGCAGCAGCAGCACCAGCCACAAACAGCAGCAACAACAACAGCCACAAACAACAACAACAGCAGCACATATGAAAGCAAATGGAAATAGAGGAACATTAAAAAGAGATTGCTAGAAAGGCAAGGATGGCTGGATCATCCAGTCCTTTGGAGCAGAAATAATTGAACACGTCTGCTTACATTTTACTACCCCCCATATAATCTTGCTGGGACTCTGCTTGCCTGCCTGCTCTCTTTCTTACTTTCATTTCCTCTGGTTGAATCATTGATGTCAGTGTGTGTATGTGTGTGTGTGTGTGTGTGTGTGTGTGTGTGTGTGTGTGTGTGTGCGTATTTCTTCTTGTATCTGCAAATGCGCGTGTGGTATCTCGATATGCCTTGGTACCTGCATTTATGTGTGTTGTTTGTCTATATTCGTGCAAAAGTTTTTTGGCATTGGTGAACTTCATATGGGAGACATGTGCGCTTGATTCAATTGCTTTGTTTTGTTGCGATTTTGATCAGAGCGGTGTTAATTTTTTCAATGCAGCATCACGCACGAATGTAAAT